AGGGAGGACGGCGACGACGACGACGACGCAAGAGCGCGCGCGCACGCATTTCTTGAAAAGCATTGTTGCGAAACCTTGTGTCTTTGTAGGTTTCTTGGACACACGGTGTTGACATCCCTCAGAAACCGATGCGTTTTGAAGGAATTCGGTATACGCGCGCGACGACCCGCGCGCCTGCACTTCGTCCCATGTTTTGCAGAGGATTCTCGCGACGGCACACGCGCAAGGGCGTTCGACAGATTTCGACATGCGCGCGCGCGAAGCCCGTTTAATAGCATGTTGTGAAAATCTTGGAAAACCTATGGTTGTCTTAAGATTTCGCAAGAACTCGCGCGGAAGCTTTTGTTAGCAAGTCCGTGTTGCGAAACCGTGTGTTTTTGTATGTTTTTTTCGGAAACTCGATTGCGAAATCCGTCCGGCACCAAAGGTTTTTGAAAGATTTCGGCATGCGCGCGCGACGACGCGCGGGTGCGCACTTCGTCATATTTTTTGCAAGGGATTCGTGAAGAAGTGTTATGTTAGAACAAAAAATGTCACCGCATAGTGTTTTTGACAAGGGAACCTCAGGGGGGGGGAACCCGGCCCCCCTGGGATAGTGTAAATTCATAGTTAGGATGGACATGTGGTCAGAATCGTATACGATTTACAGACCCGAAAGGGGGACCGATAACGCCGGGGGGGGGTGGGGGGGTAGAGTCTATTCTGTTGTTAGAAAAAGAGAATGTATGTTGTGTCATCCATGTGGTACGTAATTCACGCGGTGTCATTGGCGTGGTGGATGCAATCCAAATTGTGCAATATACGTGGTGCAATTCAGTTGTCACCAATGAGTTGTCAACTCCACAAAATCGCCAAACTCCCACGCCCGTGCAAGTGTCCCACCCACCCACACACCCGCAACTTGATTTGCAGAACCACTTCGGCGGCGATTGCGATGACTTCTTGGTGCTGGCTGGCGCGTCCTTGCGACCGCGCTGGCGCGCGCATGCTCGCGTACACCAGAGCAACCGTGTACACCACAGCGCCTGTACACCCCGCAGTGCCTGTGTGCACTACTGCGCCTGCGTAAACCTAAGCAGCCGTGTGCAACACAGCGCTGGTGTACACCACAGTGCCTGCGTGCTCCACAGCTCCTGCGTGCACCTGAATGGAAAGTCTGAGTGCCTGCGACGCAGGGCCCGCGTGCACCACAGCGCCTGTGTACACCACGTGGCACGCGCAAGCCACAACAGCCGCGTGCATCACAAAACTGTTGCTGTCTGTACCGCTGTAGCCGTGCGCATGCACCGCAGCGCCTGCGTAGCCCGCTATCAGCGCCCGCGTGCACCAAAGTGCCGCGTGCGCAGCAGTCACGCGTACACCATGCCACCGCCGGGGGGCCGAACGTATCAAAATCAATACGTCAATAATTAATTAGAATTGCTTTGATTGGTGCGGCACGCAGTCTCCCGGTGTTTGGCCAACACTGCCTGTGTACACCGCGCTGCCTCTGTGCACCTCCGCGCCTGCGAACAGCATAATCTTTGGGACCGCTGCAAATTATGCGACATCATCTGCATGCACCACTGCGCCCTTGAAAACCACGCGGCCCGGGGGCGCACAAAACGGCGTCAGCATAAGGAAAATTCGCAGGAAGAGCAAGAGGAGCAGCAGCAGGAGGCCAAGATGCTTGAGCCAAGAAAGCCATTGAGCCACACGGCGACCATTGACGACGTCCTGGGTCCTCTGGGGGCCCCAGGACGTCTGGACTCGCCAGGACGTCGTCGTTCGTCGTCGTCGCCGCAGCCGTTGCTGGCCTGCGAAGAGAGAAACATGAGCGAGAGAGCAATATCATGTTCTGTTGTCACAAATGCAAAAGTACTCCGCGCGCACCACATCGCCTGCGCACAGCACAACAGCCGCGTGCAACACATCGCCAATGTACACCACAACGCCTGCGTGCACAGCAGCGCCTGTGTACGGTGTGCGCCGCCGATGTGTACACCGTGACAGCCGCGCGCACGGTGGTTCAGGGTTCGAGCCGCCGCCCGCCGTACGATCATTACCGTGCCGGGGGGGGGGCCCGCGTGACAAACGATATTGAGGGGGGCGTTGAACTGACGATCATTCGGTAATGACGGTGATTGCGACGATCATGGCAACGACGACGGCAAGGCCAGCGACGGCTGGCACCGATGCTGATCATGCCGACGACGATGACGCGTCCTCGCGTCGGTGGTGAACGTGCTGAACGGAATTCAACATGCGCGCGCGGCCGACGCGCGAAACTAGCCCGCACGTCACTATTTGGCACGGGTCGCGCCCCCCCCAACACACGCGCAAGGGCGTTCGAATAATTTCGACATGCGGCGCGAAAAGGTCCGCGTGGTAGCACGTGATGAACATGTTGAACCACCAATGGTTCCCTTTTTTTGGCAGGAGCGCGAGCGCAGGCATATTTGAAAATAGAGATTGCAAAACCCTGCGTTTGTATATATATATATATATATATATATATGTATGTATGTATAGACATATATATATATATATAACATATATGTATAATTCGGGGCGCTCGGTTGTGAAATCCCTATGAACCTTTGGGTTGTGGAGGAATTCCAGCGCGCGCGCGCGACAACGCGCGCGCGTGCGCACGTTGGCCCATTTGTTGCAAGGGGTTCTTTGCGAGGGCACGCGCGCAAAAGCGGTCGAGCGATTTCGACATGCGCGCGCGAGCCACGTTTGGTAGCATTTGGTGAAACTGTTTAAAACTTATGCCTGTCGTAAGAATATGCAAGGACGCGAACGCATGTGTGTTTTTGTTGTACCAAATCTTGCTGCAATGCCAAATGTGTGTTTACATGCTGTCGGGTCACTCGATTTTTGCAATCCTCACGCAACCAAAGGCTGCTGAGCGATCCCAGCATGCGCGCGCGACGACGCGAGCGTGCACTTCGCTTCGTTTGTTGTGTGTTTTGCAAGGGCCTCCTTTTTAAACTGGCGACATTTGACAAACGATCGCGCGCCCATATTGACTCCTGCAAAAGCTGATGAGGGCGGTGGCTGTCTAGCTGGGGTAGGATGGATGCATACTTAAGATGGGCGAGCGTACAAACATATATGAAAACGCAATACGCAAAGGGGTACCGTTAAGGCCTCGAGGGGGGGGGGGGAGTCTACTGCTCGCGCAACCATATCACCCACCTACCCGCATCTTGGCTTGCGACACCCATGCGGCGGCGATTTCGATGAGTGCTTGGCGTTGCTTGGTGCATCCCTGCGGCCGCGTTACTCCGCGCATGCTCGTGCGCGAAACGGCCAGCTAGTTTGGCGCAGCCGGCGCGGCCGCGGTGGCGCTGACCGCTGGGCACTTCCCAGCGGGCACTTCAGTGCGAGTCGGCGACTTGGGCGGGCGCGGTATCACGGCAACGTCGAAAACGGTGGACACGAAAATTGTAATAGCGATGCTGGTGGCGATGATGACAGCGACGACGGCAAGGCCAGTGACGGCGCCGATGCTGACCACGCCGACGACAATGACGGCCTCCTCGCGTCGGTGGTGAACATTTGAAATGAATTTGACATGCGCGCGCGGCCGGCGCGCGAGTGGCCCGCATGGCACTATTTGGCACGGATCGCGCCCCCCCTCCAGTACGCGCGCAAGGGCGTTCGAATGATTTCTAAATTCGGCGCGGGGGGGCCCGCTTGGCCGAGTTTGATGAAAATCGTGGAAAATGTGGATGGTTCTATTGTACGAACTTGCAGGAGCGAACGCGCAGGCATGTTTGAAAACTGATGTTGCACAACCGTGTGTATTTATATAGTTTTTATATACTATTTCACTCGATTTGAAAATCCCTACGACACCTCGAGTTGTTGAGGAATTTCCGCAAGCGCGCGACGACGCGCGCTTGTGGTCTTCGTCCCTTGTTTTGCAAGGGCTTCTTGCGACAGCATGCGCGCAAGGGCATGCAAGCGATTTCGAAATGCGCGTGCGAGAGTCACGTTTGATAGCATGCGATGGAAATGTTGAAACACCTATGGTTTTCTTGCGAATGCGTAGGAGCGCGAGCGCATGCTTTTTGGTAGGTTGTTCGGGACACTCGATGTTGAAGTCCTTACGGCACCAAAGGTTTTTGTTGTTGCATGCGCGCGCGACGACGCGCGCATGTGCACTGCGTCCCATGTTTTGCACGGGATTTGAAGATATGAAGTTTTTTGATGAACGAATGTCGCACATAGTATGTTCTGCAAAGGCTGAGGTGGGGGGCGATTGCGGTCTAGCTGGGACACCATGAATTCAGATTTAGGACAGTCGTATGTGCAGAATAAGTATGAACATGCAGCACGTGAAGGATCCCGTTAAGTCCGGGAGAGGAGGGGGGGAGAGTCTGTATCTCTCCCAGAGAAGAGAATGTATGCGGTGCCATCTACGCTGTGCAATTTCCGCGGCGACGGCGACAACATAGCCGCAAGCCTGACAATCGGACTCAGACGACGGGCGGCGACGAGACGGCGACGGCGACAATATAGCCGACATGCCGACAATCAGGCCGAATTAGTTCCTTAGAAAAGAAGTAAGGACCCCTGAGTGCAAGCACTGTTTGGGGAAGATCGATACAAGCCTATGGCGCAAGTTGCAGATGCTGTTCAGGGCCTCTTGGCTTGGCGAGCTCAGACCCGAAAATATCGGACGATGGCTTTACGACGATTCCTGCCCCAGCATAGCTCCACTGTTGTCCGAGCTGAACCCAAGGTGGCAGCATGCAGAGGATCCAATAAGCAACCAGCATCGTGCAGGATGGTCCAATCGGCCCCGAGGCGCCCCCCCAAAAGTCCCCAAGATGGCCCCAGAGGCCCCATCATAACCCTGGAATGGTCCGACGTGCTTCCCTGCGCCCCAAGACGCCGCCGCGAGGCTCCCATAGATGGCTCAACAAAGCCACAAGAAACCACCAAGGTGGACTCCAGACAATACTGAGATGGATCGGCACGGGGGACCGGAGGCAGAGGGCGCAGACCCTTCAAATACACAAAGTCGTACTTTCTCGCGAAGCCCTTCGAGTCCAGCAACGCAAGCAGCTTCTGGCGCGTCCACATGTAGGGCACGTTCCGCATCATCACGGTTGTGCGCACCTCTGGCTCGATGCATGCGTCGTTCTTCTGCCACGTGTTCAGTGGCCACTCGCCCTCGCGACCGAAAGCCCAGGTGCAAGGGCTCCGCTGCAACGAGGTCTCGGCCGCAGCGGCACCGGCAGCGACGAACGGCCTTGCCTTGGTGCTGAGACGCGAGCGGGTGCAAATGACCGCCCGATCGGAGGTTGCCAGCGCCTTGAGCGGCAGCGTGTCGCATGGCGCCTCCAGGGCTGACCCGAGCGGCACGCATGCCGCAACCGGCGAGTCCTTCCGCGATCCTGCCGGGGAGGGCCTGCCGGCACCGAGCCAGGCCAGGGCGGCCGAGAGGCCGTCCTCGCCCGAGGGCTCGCACGAGCCGTGGGGGCGCAGGGCGTCGAGCTCCAGCATGTCCGCCCACGCGAGGGCGGGGCAGACGGCGTGGCACGGCGTGGCGGGCCCCGGGGACAGCACCGGCGCCGACTGCACGCGCCGGAGGCCGCCGCGGCCCGGGCCGCCGAGCTCCGCGCCGCAGCCCGCCGCCGGAGGCGGGCGATCGCCCGAGGGGGCCACGCTGGCGATGGCCGGCGCCATCCCGGTGCAGAGCTCGAACGGTCGGCGGATGTGCAGCTTCGCAGCCGACTCTGAGCTCTCGTATATATTTAGAAGAAGAAGGAACGGCATAAACATAGACTCTTGGCGCTCCGCGCGGACTTCTTGGACCCGCGCCGGACCCCTCTCCCGGGCGCGCGGAGCGCGCCAGAGGCGCCGCCAGGGGGGCCCATCGCGGATCCAAGAAATCCGTGCCGATGGCCAAACGTTTATGTTTATAACTTTCCACGAATATAGGCTGAGGGCGGCCGGGGGACTGGAGCGTCGCGCGTCCTGAAGGAGAGCGCAGGTAAGATCGTAGGAGACGTTAGCCGAGCTGGCTGCGGAGGCCCCTCGGCCGAGGCAGGATGGTGAGCAGGATGAGCAGGAGCAGCGGGGGGATACAAGAAGCGTACGAGGACGATGATGGGAGGCATGATGAGAAGATGGAATCCAAGCAAGGTTCAAGAAAGGGGAAGAGAAGGGAAGAGAAACGGAAGGAAGGGCAAGGAGGGAGGGAACAAATCCGCCGACCCCAGCTTGCCAGGGGTGAAAATTCGCGTGACTGTCCCCTTCCCACTTTCCCTCTCCCCTGGGGTCTAAATTTCCGTCCTCGGGGGGGGGGCAGAGCTCGCCAATGCACATCCCGCGGGCTATCGGAGATTCTAGAACCACACACTGTGGCCTCCAGGATGTCCGAATTCCTTTGGAGAACGGCTCGAAAAGGGCTACAGACACGCCAGAGAAGCTTCAAAGACAGCCAACATTGCCTCAACATGGCCCGAGAGACGAGACTCCCACCACGCTCCACAGAGACTTCAAGCGGGTCTCCAAGAAGGCCTCCCAAAGCAACAAACTGGGGTTTTCCTCTGTAATAATTTCCGCATTCGCGGATCTCCGGACTTCAAAGCCAAAAAACGGCCAAAAGAGCTCCCCAGACCGCCCCAGAGGTCCCCAAGAGGACCCGGAGACGGCCCAAGAGGATCCCACGACGGCCCACGAGGCCCCCAGCCCTCGGACGGCCAAGAGGCCCCCGAGAGCATCCCAAGGGGGGGACACGAGGGAACTGGCCATTGCTCGGACGTCCATTCCCTGTGCTTCTTTCGGTTTCGTGCGTGTTTTTTTCGCCAAATGGTCCAGGATGCTCCTCGACGGTCCTCGCCAAAGGAAAAAAGCACACGTCCGAGCGATGCCAAGGGAAAACTCGAAGGGGCTCAGGGAACCCTCCACCACAAGCTGCCACCAAGACCTGGAGCATGCCCTCGCGAAGCTCTCAGAGGGTCCTCAGAAGCCCCCAGGCACTGTCAACTGACCCCAAACGACTTCCCAAAAACCTCGTCCGAAACATGCCTCCAAGATACCCGTAACAGACCCCAAGAGGCTTCCCACAGGCTTCGTCGCCGTTGAGCTTCTCCTCATCGTCCTCCTCCTCCTCCTCCTCCTCGTCCTCCTCCTCCTCCTCCCCCCCCAGTCTTCCTTCCCCTCCTCCTCCTCCTCATCCTCCTCCTCTTTCTCCTCCTCCTCCTCCGCCTCCTCCTCGTGACGTTTTTCTTCTATCCCCATGTCAACAGACCCCACCTTCACCAATGACGGCCTCAACTGTCCACGACGCCGTTTCTCCCTCCCTTCCTTCCCCTCCCTTTGCCCCACCCTATGGCTATGGTTTATTCATGGCCATGCCGTTGTATATACATATATAAATATATACACATATATATATACATACATTAGAACCACGCGCGCGCTACGCGCGCGTAGTTTCTTTTTTGTCACGGCATCATGGCGCCAAAAGATGCCACGGCAAGCAGTGCCATCGACACCGGATCTCGCTTTAAAGGGTCATGACGACCGACCCTCCTGGAGCATTGGAAATCTCGTACTGTGTTGCCCCCTTCCTGGCGCAACTCCGTCGCAATGTTTATTGCAGTAAGGTTCCAAAACTGCCTGGACTGAACCAGGCTGAATCGAACGGCCGCGAACCAGCGTCCCCCCCAAGACGAATCGAACAGAACCGGAATGGTCGCGGTAGAGACCCGAACCGAACCGAACCAAGATCGTTTGTGGACCGACTGGGGCCGAATCAGATCGATACAAACCGAACATGAACGGTAAGTCCACCCCAGTGAGTGGGAAACGAAACCCGAGGCCCAGCAGAGAACTGCCCGGACTCCCCTCCCGCTCGTCATCGTTGTCGGCCTCCTCCTCCTCCCCCTCCTCCTCGCCCTTTGTCTTCGTGCTCGGCCTCGTCCTCGTTCGCCTTCGTCTCCTCCCTGGCCTCTTCCCCCTCTTCCTCCTCGTCGTCCTCCTCCTTCTCGTCCGCACCTGGTGGATTCTGGACCCTGGGCTTTGGACCCCTGGCTCCGGGGACCCGCGTCGACGCCTGTGGACCCATCCTCGGCCCCTGGAATCCTCCACGATCCCTGGACCCCTCCTCGGCCACGAGAGTGCGGCCCCAGGACCCCGCGTCCAGGAGCAGGAAGAGCACGAGGAGGAGCAGCAGGAGGGGGAGGAGGAGGAGGAGGAGGAGGAGGAGGAGGAGGAGGAGGAGGAGGGGCAGGAGAGGAAGAGCAACATCAAAGGAGGAGGTGCAGGAGTAGGAGCAACAGGAAGAGCAAGAGCAGGATGGGGAGAAGGAGGAAGACGGGGGGCTATGGGGGAGGGCGAGGGGGGGAGAGCAGGCGGATGAGTAGCAGGAGGAGGAGCAGGAGGAGGAGCGGCAGCAGCAGCAGCAGGTGCAGGAGGATCAAGGAAAAAATGCGGAGGAGCAGGAGGAGGAGGAGGAGAAGAGGAGGAGGAGAGGAGGAGGAGGAGGAGGAGGAGGAGGAGGAGGAGGAGGGCGACGACGACGACGACGACGCAGAGGAGGAGGCACCCCCACCCCCACCCCTTCACCCTCGTGCCTATTCCCCCTCCTCCTCCCCTCCTCCTCCTCCTCCTCCTCCTCCTCCTCCTCCTCCCCATCTTCCGCCTCCTCCTCCGCCCTCTCCTCCTCGTCCTCGTCCTCGTCCTCGTCCTCGTCCTTTTTTTCCTCCTCCTTCTCCTCATCCTCCCCCTCGTCCTCAACCTCCTCCTCCTCCTCCTCCTCCTCGTCCTCGTCGTTCCCCTCCTCTTTGTCCTCGTCCTCCTTTTCCTCCCCGTCCTATGAGCTCTGTGACAGGTCTATGGCTCGGTCGTGGGACGTCGAAACGCAATCAGCAGTGTCGAGATCGTCCCTGGCGACCACAAAAGCCCCCAGGTCTCTCTTGTAGCCGCAATCGGCCGCGTCGGGGTGTTCGGGGTTCCTCGTTGGCGCCGTTTTAGCCGTCAGGGCGGCCTCTGGTGCCGTCATGGGGCACGGCTGGGGACATAGAGGACGAGCTTGCGCCGTCGAGAAACATAACAGGCTGGGTGGCCAGAAACCCCGGAGAACCCATTGGAATATCTAAAGGGTTGAGCCGCCTCTGGGGGCCCTTGTGGGAAGTCTCTAGGAAACAAATTTTGCTGACGAGGTGGCCTGGGGAGCTGTCATGGGGCGATCGTCGGCGTCGCGCAGGCCTGGGAGCGACTCCGGCGGCTCGTGGAGCCTACTTGGGGGCGCTAGTCCTCCCATGCGGAGCCGCGTTGGAACGCGGTTGGGGGCCCCAAGGGCCCGAACCACATCGGTCTGGGCGCCCTCTTGGGCCGCCGTGCAGCGCGGGGATGCAGAACAAGCTGGATGAGTGAAAGCGTGTCACAAAAACATTTGCAAAAACAAAGAGCAAAGCCTCAAAGGGCCCTCCGGGAAAGCCCCTTGGAAGCATGCCGTGTCGACGAAATCGCTCGGGGGGGGTCTGCGATCGTCGGCGTCGTGCAGGCCTGGAAGAGACTCTGGCGGCTCGTGGAGCCTACTTTGGGGCGCTGGTCCTCCCACGCGGAACCGTGTTGGATCGCGGTTGGGAGCCCCTAGGGCCCGAACCACATCGGTCTGGACGCCCGCTTGGGCTGCCGTAAAGCGTGGGGATGCACAACAAACTGAATGAGTGAAAGCGTGCAAAAACATTAGAAAAAAAAACAATAAGTAAGGCCCCAGAGAGCCCTCCGGGGAGGCCTCTTGGAAGCATGACGTGTCGACGAAGTCGCTCGGGGGGCTGTCTTCGGGTGATCGTCGGCGTCGCAGGGATCTTGGAGCGCCCCTGGCCGCTCTGTGACCCTACTGGGGCGCGCCGATCCTCTCATGGAGCCATCTGGGACACGGTTGGGAGCGTCCGGGGCCAAACCGGGACGGTGTGGGCGTCCTCTGGGGCTGCCGCGCAGCGTGGGGATGCAGAACAGGCAGCCTGGAGAGAAACGTGGGAAAAAAACAATGGGAAAACCAAGTGTGTAAGCTTCGGGGAACTGTCCTGGAGGCCTCTGGGAGGCCTGTGGGAGACCTGGGGCGCCAGGCGGGAGCAGGCCTGGAGTTCCCTGCAACCTCTTGGGGCTCTGGTGGCTCCGGGCCGGCGAAACGATGCAAAAACAAAGAAAATAAAGCCCTGGGCCCCCCATGCGCCGCCGAGGTCCCTGGGCGGGGCCCCCTCGGCCACGTCCCCCGGGGCTCTGGTGGTTCCGGTTGGCCGAAACCTTTTGGTGTCTAAATTGTCGGCGCTCCCGTGCGGGAGGTCCTACACATTCTGCGAGTCTAAGTTCTTGAAGCCTGCGTCTAAATCTAAGCCACGATATGATGTAACTTACATTTTTTCTGAACGCGTTTGTTAGCAAATTTAGACACGAAGTGTGCATTTAGACATTTTTCATGAATTTAGACACGAATGCAAATTATTTACACACGATTTAGACACGTTCTGGTATATTTAGACACGAATTTAAACACGGCTCTGATTTAGACACGGTTTAGACACTATTTAGACATGTCCTGCGTCGAAGCAAAACTGGCCCGCTGAATTTAGACACCTCGTTAGACACGGCGCGCCCTAGAATTTCAACACAAGTCTGACGGCTTCTCCATTGCTGCATGAATGTGCTGCT